CAAAAAAAAAAAAAAAAAAAAAAAAAAAAAAAAAAAACCACACACAAAAAACAAGTGCCTTTCACATTATAACCCCCCAGACACCAAAACTCAGCAAACTCCACACCCTCATTTTCCTGTAAAAAAGTGGGGTGGGGGCTGGAGCCGGTATTATCCTAATGACATTGACAACACCTGGAGTGGAGAGCTAAAAGGTGAGGAAGACTTTATGCTAACAGTCTCATGGTTGATACACCTTTATAACAGCTGCATTTATTTGTGTATTTCTTTGTTGTTTAATGGCAACGCGGGAGATGTGCTCTGTGTCATTTTACGGCGTCAATGCAGGTTGCGTCTAATCCAAATGCTAAACAAGATTTGTGTTATCATTTCAACGCTTGGAAATACAATCTTACAGCAAGAAAAATATTGTCTTTAAAAAAAAAAAATGAATTTGTTTAAATTGGCTGAAAAAGTTTCAACTTAACAATAATCCATGTTCAGGGCATAGTACCCCCCCCCTTCCTCTCCCCCCTCATAACCCACACTTCAACCATCTTCAACCCACTTGAAAGCTGAACCAAAAGAGAAACCACGATGGCACCCCACCCCCACCCCCTTTTCCTCCCCACCGCAGAGGTCGAGGACCTTGAGTTACCTACTCCAAGACTTCCTTATTTGCTTAAAGCCCCATGTCTCAGAAATTGAAGACAGAAATCCAGTGTGTGACTCGATGTTGTTGGGAGAGGGGTTGCTGGGGGGGGGGGGGGGTTGGGGGGAGGCATTGTTGGAGGCACCAAAGTAAAAATTAATTAACATTTTAAGAATAAATGCGCTCAAACAAAAAAATTAAAAAAATTTGTCGTCTGAAATATGTCGTGTCCTACATCTGTCAAAGCCAATTCAAATAAGCCAGTGTCATCCTTTAACATGACCCTATATTCTGGGCTATCATTGCTTTCCAAAATGAAATAAAGTGAAATGAAGTCATAATTTGTTATTGCGATAGGCTATAAACTCAAGTACGGATAATAACCAACAATGTTCAGGTTTGATCGATTTTAATTTTGACATGACTTTTTAATATTAATATGAAATATAAAAAAAAGAAATGAATGTAGAATTGAATGTATCAAAACGATCATGTTTTAAAAAATATGCACATAAGAATGAAATATAGTCGAAAGAAGTCGTCGAGTCAAGAGGGGAAAGTCAATGTGAACAAGGAAGGTAAGTTGTCGTGAAAACACAACTAGGTCAAGGATGAACATTCAACTAGAGCAATGATGAAACACCAATAAGTCAATAATGAAGCAACTAGTTCAAGGAACACACATCATCTAGGTCAAGGATGAAATGTTCAACTAGGTCAAGGATGAAAGCACACAAAGTGAAAAACCACCATTAGGTCATACAAGGACAGGGTGACAACAATCAATGATTTCACTGAAGGTGCCATTTGGGGGGGGGGGGGGCGAGGGTGATTATTTTGTATATTACTCCCGTGGCAGTTTCATGTTTGAAACGGGGGATGGCTGTCAGGGTGGTATTGATGATGGTACCACTCATCATGTAATAGGTGATATTATTATGAGGGGAAATGGGACTGCTGGAGTTCAGTTAAAAGGAAAAAAACGCACCACACGGACGGTGTAGTTTACGAAATGTTGTCGGTCGGAACAACGAGAAGACGACGTTTCATCGGATGGATGATGATATTCACAACAGAAGTGGTAATGTTAGGTTTTTCTTGTATGGAAAAGTCATAACTGTCATGGTGCGTTCGGTAAGGTCAAAGACGGTTGAACTGTTGATGGTTGTCCGGTTTGAAATCGATATTCATCACACGTGGTTCCGGTTCACACTTCCATAGATCTAGAACTTAACACACAAATGACATTAACTGTGTCACCCAAACGTCCACGCACAATGATGTCACATTCCCGTCTTTGTGATTGACCCTATGATATCGCCACCCTCCCGCAATTGTCAACTAACATGTCACCTTGGAATAGAATTGTTTTTTGTTTTTTTTCAACTTGACAGTTGGCCAACTTGAAAAAAAATTTAAACCATTCTTTTTGGAGCGATTCCGGGCCAGCCCCTTTCCTCACATCCTTTCATCCATTCGATTTTGCGTTGCTATTTCCCCCGTTTCTCAGGGACAGACGATAGAGTCCCGCGTCTCCCCGTGATCACCGACGGCAGTGTCCCGCGTCTCACCAAGACCGGCGGTGACAGTGAGCCTCGTCTCAGCTGCAGAAAAATCTCCTCATCGTCGTCATCGGATCCCCTGCGTGACCCGCTCATTGTGTGGGGCGTCGATCTGGACGAGATTCTCTCGTGGACCAGCGACATACGTTGCCAGGAATCCCTGTTGGATGAGTTGGGCGAGTTGCCGTCTCGGGCCTGGAACAAAAGTTTTACAAACACACAGCAGTCAGGCTATTTAGTCTATGGATAGGTTGTGTATTTGCGATAGGGCTATGTAGTCTATGGATATGTTGTCTGTTCGTCCTAGAAGCTATGCATTATATGGATAGATTGTTCAAAATGTTCTTTGGCATCGACAATGTATTGAAGCTAAGTCTTCCATCAGTTTCGACCAGTGTAATCAAGTCTTACTGCTGGCGACTCATCAAAATGTTACAAGTTATGACCCAAGTTTCGACCAGTGGCTAGTCATTGAGGCATGGCGCTAGTTTTTTTTACTAAAAATAAATAATTTAAATCATGCAACAAAGAAATAATAATTTTTAGGGGTCGTTCGTAAATTAAGTCACTCCAAAAATGACATTTTCGGACGACCCCCCCCCCCCAATCACAAAGCATTACATATCCTTTACCCCCCCCCTTTTTTTTAGTGTTACGTCACACCTAAAAATATCCAAAACATGCATACAACTTTCATAACGAAACTGAGATTTTACTTTCTTCCCAGACATTTCCCCATAATTTTCTCATAAAGTATTCTTAGAAAACTGTGACGTAAAACGCTAAACAACGACGTCCTCCCCGGGCCGAATGTAAACTGGCCACAACAAATCTCACGTCATTTTTGGATACGTCCAGAAGGTGTGAGCGACTGAGTTTCACGGAACTCATACTACCTGAGGCAATTTCGAACTCAAATTAATGTTTTTTCTTTAAATTAATTGAATAAAGAATGTTTAAAATTAGAAAATTTTAGATGACAAAAAAAATATACAAAGTGTTACGTCCCTAAATTTTTTACACAAAGTAGCAAAAAACCTCGACCAACCCCCCCCCCCCCTCTCTATCTCTATTGAGCGTTACGTAAATTGCGAACGACCCCTGAAACATTTACCAAGACTTCAGGCTGCTTCGTTCAGCGAACCGGTCCCTTCAAACTCATTGCCTTAGCGTGGTCCCTGGACCTAACCTACCGGCCCCTTCAAATCCCAAACTCATTGCCTTAGCGTGGTCCCTGGGCCAAACCTACCGGCCCATTAACATCCGATGGCCGTCGATAGCTTTGACTCTTCTTCTTGATCTTCTTGCTCTCCAGTGACTCGATGACCGCTCGCCTCAGACTCTCGTCGTAAAGTGAATGTTTGGTCACGTGCTCTTCGATGCGCTTGTTTCTGGACACAGACATCCGCCTGGCCCGTTTGGCTATTTTCTCAATTTCCAGATTTCGCCTCTCAGTGTGACTATGGGTTAGGGTTAGGGGTTAGGGGTTAGGGTTAGAGGTTAGGGTTAGGGTTAAGAGGGGGGGGGGAAGAGGAAAGGACACGAGGAAAAATGTGTTAAGTGAGATACAAACGTTTAACTTTTGTGTCAAGGGATGTGTTTATTGTTTTGAGATACGTTTTGATTGTGATGTTAGCAAGTTCGATTTATTTCGATATGAAACGTACAGGAAGGCGGAATTATACTTTCTTTCGCGTTGTAATTTTTTAATAGTAAACTCCACTATGGCCTACATACACACACACACACGCACACACACACACACATATATATATATATATATATATATATATATGGTTTTGGTTGGCTTGTTTGCCAAGTGTTGCCAATACAAGGGCTGTAATTCATATGCAACACACTTCATTTGATTTACTGACCTGTAATCGAAGGATCCAACAATCCTTTGAGTGACTTGTCCCCTGTGAGCCAGCTTGGTGTTCAGGTAATTCTCCAGTAGAGTGAAGTCCTAATGCGATAGAAAACAACTGAAATTACTCACCAAATAAACGTTCTGAACCACTTACCCATTTTTACACGTCATGGGGAAAAAGGGGGTGGGGGTGGTGGTGTTCGCTTTGCTGGTTCAACTCACCACTACCCACGTGATAAACTCCGCGATTCCAACTGTACCCACCGTTCTCTCGTTCTTGCAGGTCGACTCCAGCTCTTTCAACAGCTTCCTCCGGTCCTTGGACTTCTGTAGGGCTCTCTCCTTCTCCAGCTGGGACGGGGTCTTGCCCTGAACCAACCGCTTGAACCGATTGCGTATGCTTGTAGAGGTGGAGTACCTGGCAGGTGGTCGGGACAATAGAAGATCTCATAAGAGTCGCATAGTTACTATGTGTGGTTAATTGTTTTACTACAACGGCCTTTGAAATCATCTTGGCACCACATGAACAAAGGTGGCCGGTCACGCGCTGTACATTCATAAATAAAAATAACACATAAAAATCATGCGTTATGGATCATAAATAAAATACGTAGCAATTCAAAATGTGTGTCCAAATAATCTGGAGACTTACGTGGAAGCGCCATCTGCATTTGGCGCCATGCTTGACATGCGTTTATTCTGAAAATTTGGGGGGGGGGGGGGGGGGGAGGGGAAATAATTGGGTGAGTAACCAGATGACTCATTTTAAAACAAATGTTTGGTGAAAATGAATGATTGGCCGATGTTCTCAAATGTTTGAGGAATTTTTTAAAATTTAAAAAAAAAACAAAAAAACAATAAATTCATTTTTTGAAATAGATTTAATAACCATTATTTAAAAACTCATTTTTACGTTTCAGTCAAGACATCATCATTTGAATTTCGCTATACATTCTTACAGATATATTGCGTCTTTTTGGCTGTTTAATTTTTAAAAAAGCTTACCTGGTCCGTTCATGGCGCTTACACTTACATGGTAATGTGACCGCAGAACGCCCAGCTTCAAGTACTGGGACCGGATCACTTGTTCCTCAGAGGGCAGACAGAAGCCCAGTTTGCTGATCCAGGGATAAACACGACGTGAGCAGGTTGGATTTGGATATGTGCCGTTATGAATGAGTGAGTGAACGAAGTGGGGGTGAATCCTTGGATTAGATGTTTTGATCGATGGATGGGCAGCGTGGACGCGTCTCATCGAATGAGTGTTAATGTATGAAGTACAGATGATCACATGAGAGTTAACTAAATTCAAACCTAGGCGCTTACTAAATTCAAACGTAAGAACTAAATTCAAACCCCCGTGAACGCACTTTAACTTATTAGGCATTGTCAGTATCTCCTGGACAAGAAGACGCCCACCTTTTTAGGTATTCAATATCTCCCGGACAATGGGACGGTACTCGAAGGGAACAGACTCTTTCCGAAAACAGATTCCTCGGTTGTATAAACGTGACGTCCACCAGGCAAGGATCTTTGTGTTTCTTAGATGCGGGTCTGATGACCTGTAAGATAAATACGTTTGACACGTCATGATAGCGATGTGTATGTTATGGGGTTTTTTTGTGTTATGTGAAGAACCGCATATATTGGTTTCACCCGGCTACTGAAATATTACATTAAGAAATGGCGCCAGCGGGCCGTCGAGCTTGCGCTCTTTATGCCCTCCCCAAAACACCCCTCCCCAACCCGGTATCGGGCCGCGGAGCGGCACGTCGGGGTGTCCCTTTGTCACCCGGCTACTAAATCGGTTACTTTGGATATAATTTTCGAATACATTTGAGAAGCTTGACTCGAAATATTCTTTTGGGACAAATCTATACAGTTGCTATGAACTCATATCATGCTGTCACATTGGGGGTCTGAGAAAGTTGAGGTTGCATGAGTTAAAGCTAGAATGTCACTTAGTTATAAGACGAATAAGATCATGCTGTCACATTGGGGGTCTGAGAAAGTTGAGGTTGCATGAGTTAAAGCTAGAATGTCACTTAGTTATAAGACGAATAAGATCATGCTGTCACATCGGGGTCTGAGAAAGCGGTTTGTTTCTTGAGTTTAAAACCAGAGTGCCCCTCAGTTATGAGATGACAAAGTTGGAGTCTATAATGCAATGGATGAACTTAATATTTGGCAGTACAATAACAATAACTCTCTCACTCCTCGTCGCAGGCTTATCTCATCCGTTTCTGTTCATGACTTATATCCGTGGCTGATATCCTTCTCCCATATCCATGACTTATATCCGTGGCTGATATCCTTCTCCCATATCCATGACTTGTACCCATGGCTTATATCAATGGATTAAATCCATAAATACTTTTCATGACATATCCATGGCATATATCCATGGCTTACATTCAAGAAATATATCCATGGCTATTATCCGTCGCTTATATCCATGGCTGGCATCCATCCAAACATCGTACCTCGTAAGATCCCAGTAGGGGCTTCATTAAAGAATTTCCTTTGTGAACACGTGACCATTTCCGTAGATTCTCCACAGCGATACCTGCCATCACGACCACTGCAGGACTGAAAGAGATTAAGATTTACATATTTTTAAATGGGTGCTAAATACTTTGTATACATTACAATGCGCAGATCTGAAGACAAAATCATTTGCTCAAACATAGCAACATGTTAAGTCAAGTCAACCAAAGTAATGCTCAATTATACACATAAAATCTTCGAAACATTCCATGATTATTCCATCATCATTTTGATAGCAGTGTAAATTGGTTTTATTTACGTGAAACTGGTTTGTCCTGTGGGGGCCCTGCTTTGATTTCGCCTAAGAGACAGTCACCAGGTTTCAATGAGTCGTAAATATCATCAACAGGATTTGACACAGACACTGAGCGAAACTTCAAGCCTCGTCGCAGATTCTTGAAATAACATCCGTCATTTTTGGTGCAACTTTCGGGAAGATCCGGTTTTAGAAGAAAATAAAAGAGATGTGAAATACACGTTAATGTCGAATTGTTTTTAATCCCATGAGCGACTTTGGAAAGCTAAAAAATATAGAGCACACAATGTAGGGGGGGGGGGGGAACCTGAAAAAAAATTTACTTACAATTTTTTTTAAAATTTTAACTCAATTAGAAAGTGGAGCTCGAAAAATATACGAGGACCAAATTCTTGCAACATTTAGCATGACAAAAAATAACAAATAAATTGGAAAACTAAAAAAAATAAAGCCCACAATGTGGGGGGGGGGGGGGAACCTGAAAAAAAATTTACTTACAATTTTTTTTAAAATTTTAACTCAATTAGTAAGTGGAGCTCGAAAAATATACGAGGACCGAATTCTTGCAACATTTAGCATGGACAAAAATAACAAATAAGTCCTTTTAGTTATATATATTTATTTGACAATACAAGTTGAACTCTCGGTATTTTAAAAAAAAAAATGTGTTAAAATAAATTGAATTTCGAACAATCACAACAAGAAAGAAGGACGTTAATGTTAAGAGAATCGTTAGAGTCACGATGGAGTTTGCACTGGGTACCCATTACTCTTTAAACGTTAGAATCAAGGCGCATTCAGATACATTTCACCACGGCCATCACTGACCGACCACTGTCCTCAACGTTAGTTTTGATGGACATACAAATACAATACAACACGGCTATCATCTTACCAACAGCACATTGGTGATAACAGGAAATACCAGTGCTTGCCTGGCCTCCTTCTTCTAAATTTTTTAAATAATACAAATCCATTACGCATGATTGTTAATCACCTGCGACTTGCATTCATCGTAACCTTTGATTTGATGGACATAAATGTACAGTTTAATATCATCTACTTGCCTGCCTATTACATAAATGTACAGTTTGATATAATCTACGTGCTACTTGCCTGCCTATTACATAAATGCACAGTTTAATATCATCTACTTGCTACTTGCCTGCCTATTACATAAATGCACAGTTTAATATCATCTACGTGCTACTTGCCTGCCTATTACATAAATGTACAGTTTAATATCATCTACTTGCTACTTGCCTGCCTATTACATAAATGCACAGTTTAATATCATCTACGTGCTACTTGCCTGCCTATTACATAAATGTACAGTTCGATATCATCTACTTGCTACTTGCCTGTCTATTACATAAATGTACAGTTCAATATCATCTACTTGCTACTTGCCTGCCTATTACATAAATGTACTGTTTGATATCATCTACTTGCTACTTGCCTGCCTATTACATAAATGTACAGTTTAATATCATCTACGTGCTACTTGCCTGCCTATTACATAAATGTACAGTTTGATATCATCTACTTGCTACTTGCCTGCCCATTACATAAATGTACAGTTTGATATCATCTACGTGCTACTTGCCTGCCTATTACATAAATGTACAGTTTGATATCATCTACTTGCTACTTGCCTGCCTATTACATAAATGTACAGTTTGATATCATATACGTGCTACTTGCCTGCCTATTCTCCTAGAATCGTTAAGTAAACAAATACACCACAGATAATTGCTAATCTCCAGCTTGATTTGTTGTTGTTGTCGTTGTTGTTACTTTTGTTGTTGTTGTTCACATCTCATAGATTTATTTCCTGCAGTTCTCCCAAATACTACATTTTTTTGTTTTCAGTTATCATCAATGGATCGTCTCCCCTTCAGAGGCTGATGGGCCTTATGGTGACAGCCACGTCTATTGACAAGAAAGGCAACCAATTTGTTCCCGGAGAATTTAATGTAAGCTACAGTGAACTTTTAATTACTTATCTCTCTCGCCCCGTTGATAAGTCGTCTGTAGCCCCCCACCCCCACCCACCCACCCACTTTTCTCCTTCTAGGACGTATTTTATAACAGATTTTAAAGTTTTCTAAAAATTAAATAGAATTCTAATAAACTATACAAACTAAAAGTGGCCCGTGAACGAAAGTCGGTTAAAAATAGTTTCATAAGCACAGTGCTTAACTTCCAGGAAAGCCCCTTATTTACTTAAATAAATCCTTCATCATTTTGTATGTCAAGCAGCTTTGTTTTGTACGACGGCTATTGTGTGACCAGTGTTAACAGCTGTGTGTAATTTTGTGTCCAGTATCGCTATTGTCATGGCTCGGTCACTTCTATTTCTATCTGAACATTTCGTTCATCTTTCCTTGCACTCTGTAAATATAGTCCCAGCAATCACCCCGCTCTTCTTGCAATATTTATCTCAATTCCCAACAATCCCGTCAAGTTTCCTGCACTATTTATCTTTATTCCCACGAATCACCTCAAGTTTCTTGCAATATTTATCTTTATTCCCACCAAACCATCGATTTTCTTGCACTATTTATCTGTATTCCCCAAAATATCACTTTGATTTTCTCCAGACTTCCATTGACAGCAGAGTCCAAGATTTGAAAGTTGACAAAACGTGTGATAAATCTGTAATATCACACAGATACTTAGTCAACAAGAACGGTGCAGAATTCCTCTGGATATCTCCAACTCCGGGAACTGGATGTGTCCACTTCAAGTGAGTTGCTTGTGATTTTTTTTTTTTTAAAAATCATGTCAAAGGGAAGTAACCAATTAAATCTCGGGTGAACATATTTTTTTAAAAATACATTATTATTTCCCTTGTTCGGTACCAATCGAATTGTTTCAGTAGGATTTTTTTTTT